TCGTTATCAGTCGACAAAAAAAATTCAATTAAGATTTTTTAATTTGAAAATGAGTGAATGCATGCTTCTTTTTTAATTTTTGAAATTCATCCATACATCCATCATTGCAATATTACGCATATATTTTAGAAATTTTGATGCAATAAAGTTATAAGTAAGGAGCAAAAATTGGACGAAGAAAATGTTGAAGAAAGAAATATATACACAAGTACATCATTCAAATTATTACATCATTTTTATTATTTTTGGCCTAAAATATAATTTTAACTTTTTTAACTAAAAATTCATTTACATCTCGGTGTGTTGCGTTTTCTTTCATTTCTTGAGATTTATTGTTCACTCTTAATATGCTAATAATAAAAGTCTTAATGCTGAATAATAAAAGTTAATGAAAGAGTAATAAATTGACGAAAAGTTTAAATGACATTTTGTTTATTAAAAAACATTTTGAATATATTGAAAGAATAAATTACACATCTTTTATATATGATTGTTTTTAGGATACTTTGCAATTGAAGCAATCAGAAAATGATAAAGATAAGTTGGATTCATCCAATATGGATGAAGATGTCACACAGCCAAGTGATATTACCTCGGAAGAAAAAGTTTGTTTATTTTTCCATACTTTAATATTATCCGATGTTTAAAAAATGATAACAGAACTCTAACCATAGCTAATTTATTTCAAATTATTTATGGCTTAATAAAAAGCTCTGTTATTGCCGTAAAATTTATTTGTTTAATTTTAACAACTTATAGAAAAATATATTTTTAGTTGGAAGAAACTGAATCCAACAAACAGAAATCAGATGAAAACGTCATTTTGGAGGACAAAAAAGTGGACGAAGAAGTGGACAAAAAAGTGGACGAAGAAGTGGACAAAAAAGAGGAAAAAAAATTGATGGAACCATTAGGAGAAGAAATAAAATCACATATGATAATGGACAAATTACAATCGCAAATCTTTGTAGAGAGTGATGCATTTAAAAGGAAAATGTCAAAGGAAAAGTTGCAGAAGGATTTGGTAAAAGATGACACATCATCACCAGTTCAACCATCACCAAAAACGATACACGCAACATCTTCGATAATGAAATCACAGATAGCAAAACCGACAGTAATAAAGACTCCACCAATAAAATCGACGGCAACAAAAATTCAAACAACAAAACAAGATGAAAGTGGAGTAAAGACAGCTTTGAAGCCACCCAAAGTTACTGTTGCTATTCCCGGTCCCGAAGCTGTTATTCCGTCAACATTTACGGGTGATAGTGAAGATGACTACTTTCATGGGTTCATCTTTTCATTTCTCACTCTATAATTTGATGATTCCTGCATATCCAAAATCCTTATTCACGCACTAATACCACAATATATCTAATCAAAGGCGTAATAATTCACGTTGATTATATCACTTACACTATCAAACATTTTCTTTTCTTTTTAACAGTTTTGTTTACTTTTCTGCTTCATTCAAAATATTTCTCATAGATTTTTACCACGTGAAGATGCAAATATGCTTTGTGTACTTGACGGTGATTTTTTGATACGAACTACCGAAGTTTCGTCTGGTGAAGATCGTCAGGTAATGGAATGCTCTTATAACACTCTAAAATTGTGCTAGGATTGACAGGAAAAAAATTTTTCGTATATTTTATATGCATGACATGCATTGGCTGCATTGCAACTAAAATTATTAAATAAATTTTGCATAAAGTTTATAAATAATTAAATTGGGGAGCAAAAAATGAAGATGAAAATTGCCAAGGAAATTAATAATGGATAAAGTTATCCAATTAATTAAGTATGCAATAATATTATAGATAGTTTTTAAACAAAACAAATGATGAAAAGCAACGAATTAATTGTAGAAAAACAAATATTTGATTAAGAAGAATAGCTCTAAGTTTAGATTTGTCCGTGAAAAACAATTTACTTCAACTTTTATACAATTTCCTATCAAATTATAAACGTTTAAAAGATGACTTATTTTATTTCCATAAATTCTTTTCCATCATTTACCCGGTTTTGTCTTAAAGAGCAACATTTTTGTCGATAATCCATTCATCTTTAGCTAATCATTCGAAACGTACAAAAACATGCATTGCATTATATGTCTAAAATTATCGTAGAATTTATTAAACTGTCACAAAGTACTGAATCAAGAAGATTACATATAATTTACTTCACTTCAACTTTTATACAATTTTCTACCAAATTATAAATATTTAAAATATGGCTTATTCTAATGCCTCAAGATATTTATTTTATAAATAACAAAATTATTTCAGCTATAAATATTTATTTCTAATCAATTTATTCTTTTTTTTCTGATTTCAATTTATAGAAAAGGTTCTTATTTTATTTTTTTTTTATAATTTTAGTTATATTATGTCGTTAATTAAAATTACCTGATCTTTAAGCTCTGTTTATCAGTTGCATGGCGTGGTAAGCATCATATCATTTTATACTATGATAAAAAAAAGAATCAGTATGGAGTGAAGCCTAGCCATACATTTTCTTCAATCACCGATTTGGTTAATTATTACGCTCAGCATAAGTTCAAAATACTAAATGAACGTGTATTACTAAAGAATCCAATCGTTGCACAAGTATGCATTTTATTGATTGCCATCATTCTTGAGATATTATTCTATTCTTTTCTCAGAAGAAGTTTCATTTCCGATACATTTTATTCCACGTTTTATGCTAATAATTTACCTTTTATCTTAATGAGAAAATATTGATAGATGATAGTATCTTCATGGCATACTAAAAGATTCCTGATATCATATCTTTTTTTTCTACTTTTAAATTTTTATTAATAAAGTAAAAAAGAAATTCTCAGTGATATAAAGATTGTTTTTTTTTTTTTTTTTGTTAAGCATATGTGCAATTTTTTTTTTGAGTAAAATGTGAGCAATATTTTTGCTATTTTTGTTTTGTTCAGCCATGGGAATTGAAACATCAACAGTTGGAGCTTCTTCAAAAGCTTGGCGAAGGTGCATTTGGTGAAGTCCATTCTGCCAACCTTTCACTCACTCCTCGATTCTGTGTCAAAGCTGCTGTCAAAGTTGTAAGCAACAATGAATTTATTTATATAAATTTTTTTCACTGAGAATATTTAAATTTAAATTACGCAATAATTTTAATAATATTTTTTTAAATTGATGAATTTAAAATTAGTCAATATATCTGTTATGCTTAAATTTCTACGGGAAATATCCGTTACGTTTGATTGGTCTCGACAATAACTTTCCTATCACATTAATTTAATCTTTTAATTGAATTCAATCGAAGAATTATCAAAGAAATCAAATAAATATATTATTTTTTCTTTTGTTTGTAAGCTTAAATGTGATGCGATGACAAAGGAAAAAGTACGAGAAGCAATGTGTGAAGTTCGAATGCTACGAAATTTAAGACATGAAAATATTGTTCGCTTTTATGGGGTTGCTAACAGACGTGAACCTTTAATGATTGTTATGGAACTTGTCAAGGTGTATTATTAATTATACTTTAATTAACAATCTTATCTTTGAAACAAAATTTAAAATACATGATAATTCTAAATAGTATGAAGTTTGTAGTTATTATATTTTCAGGAAGGTGGATTGAATTCATTCCTTAAAAAAAATGGTAACAATCTTTCAATGAACATTAAACTATCGATGATTCGTGATGCTGCCTGTGGTTTAGCTTATTTACATGGTAAAAATATTATGCACAGGTTTATGCTTTTTCTTTTTTTCCCATTTCTTAATTACCATTCATTCAAATTCATTGTTTTAGTTTGCTTTTTAACATGATGATATCTTTGTTATTTTTAAATTCATCGTAATTTCTAATCTTTATCAAATTACTTTTTTTTATAGCAACCATAATATTATTTCATATATAACATTGTTATTCAAAAATTCATATTTAAAGAAATTATTTGTTAAGATTTATTCACTCATTAAATTTCAAATTTCGTTTTACTCCATTTTTTTCCGATGGAATTCAACCCATGTGATGGTTATCTAAAACTGCAATTTAATTTTTGTAAAATAATTCGATTGTGACATCATCATCGTTTTATTATCGTCAAAACTGAGAGTGGGATGAGGCTAATTAGAATTTCTATTCTAGAGATTTGGCAACTCGTAATTGCTTGTATACAGGTGAAGTAGTTAAATTGAGCGACTTTGGCATGGCTGCTTACGGACCTCAATATAAATTGCTACCCACTGATAAAGCACCTGTTCGATGGATTGCTCCTGAGGTAATTTTTATTAATAATTTTCATTATTTTTTTAAATTTTCAAAACTCCAAACTTCTCATTTTTCTTTCCAATGTTGATTTTTATTTAAAGTGCCCTGATTTCTTGTTTTTATTTCATTTCTTTCTTGGAAATTTTCAAATGTGTTAATTATAAAAATTAGAAAGAAATATGTAAATTTTTAATAAATAAGCATATTAAAATTCAGGTATTCCGCACGCTAATCTATTCATTTCCTTCCGATACATGGGCTTTTTTTATTATGGTTTGGGAAATTTTCAACAATGCTATGGAGCCTTATCCAGGTTGGGATCGAGCACGTGTCAAAATTGAAGTACGAATTAATTAACATATCAGTGCAAAATGATTGAAATTGTCATTCAAAAAATGATAAAACATTTAAATTTCCATCATTCAGATTCATTAAAATTCAGTATTTGAACTTCATATACTTTAAAATAACTTTTTAATAGCCAGCTTTTTTTTGTTTTTCTCTTTCTTTTTTCAATTTTTTTGTAGAATAATATATTTCAACATGAAAAAAAAGAGCTCATTCCATCTCTTTTCAAGACATTATTTACATTTCATGACAGGTTCTGAAGGGTAGTCGATTATCGATGCCTTCTAGCACACCAATTAAACTTCAGCAACTTTGTATGCAAACTTGGAACACGGATATCAATAAACGGCCAACAATGCATACTGTAGCGTCTGTAATGATGCGATTGACCGGGAAGTTCGTTATTTTACTGCATTCATCTCTTCCAATTTATATTACTAACTTATCTTTCTTTTCATTTCTATAAGTTAAATCGTTTTCTTTAGGACAGATGCCAGTGAAAAACAAACTCGTACTACTGCTACCAGACTAATTCAAATGAATCAAAATATGCAAGTAAATTATAGAAGTCCAAAGATAGCTTCTCCTCATAGATTAATACCGAAAGAGAAAAGGTAAGTCACACAAATATTTGAATAAAATCTACGAAATTATGACTGTAAATTGCTTTTTATATCAAATAACGAACAGAATTAAGCGGAAATATTCGGATGATTTAGCATCAATTAGTTATGTCTATTTTAGAAATACTTTATATTAACTATGTTTTGTGTATTAAAAGAAACACGCTACATTTACATAATCAAATAATCCTACTCAAATGCAAATTGGACAATTCAAATTTCTACATACGAAGAGCAAAAATGTTTATTGAACTTTTCTTCTTTTTTTCCATTGCAGTTTGGGAAAAAGTTCCAAAAAAATATCCAGGAGATCACGTCGATAAATTTTTTTATCATAAGTATGATGTATAAGTGTGATTTTTAATAAATGCATGATGATCACTATTAACTTTTGATGATCATAATACAAACTCAATTGTTCATAGTCGAATATTTTATTAAATAACAAGATAGGAGTAATAAGCAATGCAGCACGAATTTCTACTCACCAAAATAACAGAAATCATCATCCGTTATGTGACTGATTCTGTTTGCAATCAATCTAACGATCGCGAAAGTAACGATCCGCAATAGTATCTTCTAGCAAAATTTTTGGACGTTCTCTTGCAAATTTACCATTCAAATCAATTCTTGGTGATTTAATTCCATGTCGTACATTGTAAGGCTGCAACAAAACAATTCAAACCATACTTCCTTTTAAGTTAAATTTGGTATTTCACAAAATTAATCAATTAGAAAAAATTATAACCTCATAAGGATCATCGATGTAGTATTTTGGTCGCAACCAAAATGGTGTCATCATCCGATCCAACATCCAACACTCCTCTTTTGTGCACGTATCATAATAGTAACTTGTCTAAAATTATCATAGATATTTGCATAATTTATTTATAAATATGGAAAAGGGAAATATTACATTTAATTCAGAACTATTTCTATAACTATTTTTTCTCAGTTAAAAAAAAAAATAGAATATCTTCATAGTACTGAAAATTCAAATTCATTCGAATTTGAGACTATCATTTAAAATTCATGTCTCAAATCACACATAAAACAGTGTCATCTCTTATGACCTCATTTTTATTTATTAATAAAAAAAAGAAATTAAGCAATTAACCTTTAAAAAGGTCTCATCTTTGTTGTAGCGTTTTATATTCCTTCCCATTTTTGTACGTATCCACATGCCATTATTAAGCCGTTTGAAACGATCCAGTACATCTTGACAAGGTCTTTTGCGTCCTTCCTTTGGGTCAAACCTAGAACCATTGAAAAATCATCACAAAAAGTGAAAAATATCCCAAAAAAACTTCTCAAATTGTGTCATAGCTTCATCGTCATGTGAAAAAAGCATAAAATTTTAAATATTTACATTCAAATTATAAACATTACAGCTTTAATTGCTTCCCATAGGAATTATTAAACAGTTGCTACATGATAATTACGTAGGCTTGAAATCAAGATCAGAATATTTCACTTTATTGCTTTGTCTTTTAGAGATAATGTGAAAATTTTTTTTTTCACAATACCTGATATGATATTCCCAATGCGGTATCCTAGCGATACCGCGTTTCGTAATTTCGGAACCATTTTTAACCATCAATGATACTTTACTTGCATTCAACAATGCCATTATGGTAAAACAAAACTTAAAGAAATCACTTCAACTAATTCACGTTTCAATAGTACGTCGTCATTTCTGAAATGGTTCAATATTGTTTAAAGTCTTCCAACAAAGCCATACATTCTCCATAACAAAAATATTGAATAACTGAAAAAAAAGAACTTCGCGTCACTTATATACCGCAATTTTTATAAGCTTAAACTCCTAAAAATTGATTCGTATATTCTTTCAAAAATTTTTTTAGATCATTTGAAAATTAATGCTTACATAACGATGGCAATTATCAATACACAGCTTGAATTACTTCATATGCCACCACTATACATTCCCGAAAACAGGCACTATAATTCGAATCCTTATCACTTTTACAATTAATCTATTAATATAATCAATTTTATGTCATTTGGACAAATAATGCTGCTAAGTTACGCTAATACATTAAATGTAAAAGGTCAAAATAAATAATGAAATGGTTTTATTGACCAAAATTTACAATCACTTCATCAAAATTGCTTATGCAAATGGATATAAACGTATGCATAGCAAAAATATATGTATATATATACACACACTTATAAAGTATTTTGGGTAATACATTACATGTGAATAAATATGGCCACTTGCTTTAAAATGGTAAAACGTAGAAAAAAAGGAAATTGCTAAATCTCGATTACTTCCGAAGTAACAAGAAACCATATCTGATTCCATATACTTAATATTATTTCCGAACTATTTG